ATTGTTGGAAATATCTTAAAGTAAATAAATTGTTTTACTTTATTGTTGCCGACATAAAATTTATCTAATGAAAACCTTTACCCTTAAGTTCCTATAATGAATTATTCCTAACTGATTAGACAAGCACAAATTCGTTTAATCAGAGTTTACTTGGATATTTCCAAAGTAGTGGTTTAAGAATCGATAAGGTTGATGTTAGTTCCGGATTACCAATAAACACAAACATAATTACTCTATTTTATTGATAAATTAAAATAACAATAATCAGCATGTACTCTGGACGGATAAAAAAAGAGTAAACTATAATATAAATTAAAACTGGTCTTAATTTAAGTAGTGTTACACGTTACGAAGTAAATTATTTATAAAAAAATTATTGAATAATTTATGAAGAAAATGATAATAATTCTTTTGAGTCTAGAATCAAATAAGAGATTTATAAATCTTAAGTTATTGTCATTCTTTCTGTATTATAGCTTGAAATACATTAGAGGTAAGTAACCTGCCTGATCTACTGGTCTCACTTAAACGCGGCTTAAGGCTGTGTATTGATCACTCAGGGGTTGATTTTTAAAATATCGATTACACAGTAAAAATTTGTGATTTTTTCTCATTTGTATTAGAACAATAACACAATCTGCCTCATTGTTAATTGAGGAACAAACCATGAATTTATTACTGGCAAAGGTGAACGTACTACCTGTTGTAAATTGTAATCGTAGGCATATGGTACAAACTATTCGACCTATTGTTTGGTCCAAAACATAAAAAGTCAATACTGGAAATTGTAAATGAATTAGGAGTGAACATTGTACAGGGATGTCCCGTTAATCCTTATGTTACTCCGAATGGATTTCATTTGCAATTTCTCAGATTTCCCTTTTACGACAGCCCATTCCAGTTTTTGGGGTGTCGGGTCACTCGGGTTAGTTACCTTCAATTTCAACTTAAAATTGTTTTGATTTTACGTGGCAATCGCAAAAGAGAAATTCTTTAACACACACAAAAGTAGGGTACTACTAATGACTATTTTCCGGAAATTACTAAGTGGTTGTAATTTATTTCACTTAGTTAGTCGTCAGTTTAGGCTTATTGAAATATTTTTATACAAGACAATCATAATACTAAACGTGTTGTTTAGTTTTAACAAATTAAAATATATTAAATGAATGAATTTATTTCCTATATTTCAGAACACTGTATACAATTATAATTGTTGAAATATTAAAACTGGTCTTTATTCAAGTAGTGTTTCCAGCTGTAAAATAAATTACTTATAATAAAAAATAAACTGACAATTCGAGAATCAAATAACAAATATAGTATCTGCCCGCTGTAAAATATGGGGCAAATTCAGTTTGAGCAAACACATAAACAAAAAATACTTGTACTTAAGGTAACGCTGTTATACTGGAGAGTTGGTGTGGTGGCGATAACCTACATCCTGCTGAGAACTAGTCAAGTGATTGTTCTTTTACAAAAATAGTACACATTTCTCAGGATATGAAATAGACAACAATCATTTTTGTTTAGTAATTAAAATTATTGTTCAAATATATTACAATGTTAGAGTTCGCTACTATGTACTATAAAATAAGTAACGAAAGTCTTCACAAAAATAAAGTCAGGCAATATCTCAATAAAACTGTAATTTTTCTGGGACAATAAATTGAGTGTAATTTTACAAACATTTGGGAAGTTTTATTTAACTTACATAATTATCTTTAGTTTATCTTGGATGATATTGAAAGCAAATTAGTCCTTAAAAAGCTGTGCCAAACGGTTGAAAATTCTTCATAGACAATATATAGGGTGATTACCGAGAAACGCATGTTTTTCAAATAACGAGTATTCAGGTAATTCAGATAAAAAGTTATTTTTACGAGTGGAAAAACACTGTACACAATATGCAATTTTAGAATAAAATTATTTACAATTTAGTTTTTAAAAATTACATCTCTAAGATGGTCGCCTTCTGCTTGGTATGGAATTTCTTCTTCGAACATCCCCTACAAGAGATATCACACGTTTTGGTGATGTCACTTGGCCTTCTCGCTCACCGGATCTTGCAGTTCCCGATTTCTTTCAATAGTTTTTTTTTTTTAAATCAAGAATTTACATAAACAAAACACAAACAATACAGGAACTTAAAGAAGCTATTCCCCAGGAAATCAACGCCATTCCTAGAGATATGTTAGCAAAATCAGTAGCAAGTTTTAAGGAACTCCTTCAACACTGTATCAAAGCAGCACTAAATTGTAAGTAATTTTATTCTGAAATTGCATATTGTGTACACTGTTTTTCCACTCATAAATATATTTTTTGCTTTGAATTGCTTGAATACTAGTTATTTGAAAAACATGCGTTTCTCAGTAATCACCCTATATTTGAAAATGTCTTTAATATATACAATATTACAGTACAACAGTATAAATAAAACATTAAAACACTGCACGCTAAATTTATAGACGACGGCCCGGCGGGGCAGCGGGCGTGGCGCGGAGCAGCGGCAACGGCCCTCTTGTACCTGATATTTTTAGAAAACCACGCACGATAAAAATTTTTGGCGAATCGGATAGTTAAATTTGGTTATTTATCCACAACTTTCCCGCTGACGAAATTACTCTGACCAAAAAATAAAAAATTTCCTCGCTATACAACTTTTTCATGTCTGAATGTGAAAAATTAAACTACATAAGTAAAACAAATATTTATAAATCAATTACTATCATAACTAATAATTTTATATTAACACCATCGTTATCATCAGTATCAGATCTACAAGTGTGCAACATTTCAGCAATTTTTGTCAACTATTAATGTTGTTTATGATCGTGTATTTGTCGCGGGGTTTTTAATGCGAACTGTGCTCGCGGGTCTTGGATTCAGGCTGTATGACGGACTAAGATGGCGGATTTGGCCACACTTTCAGTGCATTTGGTTAAACGCCGTGTCCTCTCTATTATTATTATTATTATGTGCTCGCTGGGTGTGACGATTAGTTTTGATGTTAGGACACCAAAGTTAAATTATGTGTACTGTGAATTTTATTGGATATTATCGTTTTATTTTAGGTCGTTTCTATTCAGACATACTGGAAATTGTGTATAGTAAGTTAGTTGTATGGTGGTGATAATAATTATGGAAGAGGCAGGTATGCTATGGAAGGTAGTATCGTTGAATAGGTCTATACCCTTCTCAATTGACTATTACCTTTGACTATTGGATACAGAAGTTGTATAAGATATAAAGTGTTGTATTAATAGTCAAAGCTATTACTCTCTCTACTGTATGCTACTTATAATCAGTGTGCGTCTGTGCGAATCGGCTGCAAATCTCACTTCAACGCTTTTCACATAGTAAAAATTTCAGAATTGCTGTTTTATTGTAAAGTTATCGGATTTAAAATGCATAACAAACATATTTGGTCACACAACTTTTTTGTTTAAAGATGATTTTTCACATTAAAACTGCAAGAAACTTTGTCTTTTTTTAAACTAGCTGATCTGAATTGTACACGGTTTTAACTGACTACTGAATTCCCGTACGTAGGACGGGCTAACACCTCGTCTATAATATTAAAACGAAACAGCGTTTTTTTTTTTATTTCACGATTCTGAATCAACCACTTGACGGATTTTCATGATTTTTGTGTTGTTAGAAAGATAATTTTGAGAACTAGGGAATGTTGAAGCCAAAATTTTGGTTTAGGGTTTCAGTTTTTTTTTATTAAGTCTTAATTTTCAAAAAAAATTGCAGCCGACGGACGAGTTTAAGTCGTTTTAGTGGTGGTTTAACTAACAGCTGGTTTCTAACTGTCATTGAAATATTTATGTTACAAGTTGTTTGTATACAAAAATATTGATCGTCAGAGTTTGCCTACACACTATTTCACGTTAAAATGTAGTTTCTTTCCTACCGTATAAGATTTATTTTATCAGGAGATTGTGTAATTTTTAACTAACATTTTTAAACGTATAATCAAGTTTTGTCATAAATGCAATCCGTCTAAGTAAGTCCGTCCGATAAGTGCTTAATCCTTTAAGATATAAGTGGTTTACGTGTTGATACATCTTTTTATATTTGTTTGAAATAAGTATGACTGCATACAGTACACATTTTATTCGTAATAAAAATGTCAACCGGTGTAGTAGGTCTCCAGAAAACTGACCAGTAAGCTGCAGGGTGTCAGTAGAAACCAAAATCGATTCATACCATATCATAACTATCCCAGTAGTACTGTATGATTCAGAATCTTGATAAAGGGGTACATTCCAAAAGTAGACCAAACGGCTCGGGTGGGCTGGGCAGGCTTTGCGTGATGGAGAGAAGATACTTCAACTTTTAAAAGTGTATTCCAAGGAGTACTACAAGGTAGACGACCACTTGGAAGACCAAGTAATGAAAGGACATCTTCAGATTGGTATCTTCCTTAGAAATGGCAGGGGACAGAAGAGAACGGGAAACCAGGATCATTTTAGAGGTTTCAGTGGCCAATGTGGTAAAATAAGGTACGGTAAGTGATAGTATGCAGTGGAAGGTGGTATGTAGCTACTGTACTCAAAGCCAGTGTGTGTGAATCGGCCACCAAGTAAAAAAAAAACTAAAAGGAAATTGTTCATTTATGTATTAATTAAAACTAGTTTAATTAAATAATCAATGCGAAAAAAGAAAGTGTTTATTCTAAGAAATCATAACATAAGATAATCAACAACTAGAGATCAGCTGGTTATAGCAATAAAAACATCTCCCTCTTTAACTTTTTAATGGACGAATAAATCTTCTATTGTGTCTGAATAGTCTTCCTTCAATTGATACAAGGTAAGTTCTCAACCCATTTAGTGACACTATTACGCCAGGCGTCCATGGTTCTGCTTTCATGTCTGGTCTCTTCTGTATCAATACCTTTTGTCCAACTTTAATTGGGTCCAATGCCTGAGTGCCTTTATCATAGTGCTTCTTGTATTTTTCTTGTTTTTCTTTCAACTTGTCTGCGACTCCTACGTGTGTATCTTTGGATTTAGTTTCATTTCTGTTATGGGCAAACGAGTCTTTGTTGATCTTGACATTAGCAACTGCACAGGACTTGCACCCAAGTAAGCCAGTGGTGTATTCCTCCACTCTAATAGAGCTGCTTGAAAGCCTTCTTTACTTTCTTTTACCTTCTTTAACATTCTATTTGCAATTGTAACTGCTGATTCTGCCTTACCATTGGATTGGTGATTATACGGCGAAGAAACAGCAATTTTAAACATCCAAGTCTGGGCAAAAAGCTTGAAGTCTTGGCTAACAAGTTGAGTACCACTGTCAGAAACAACAACGTCTGGTATTCCGTAACGAGCAAACTGTTCTTTACAAAACTGTATCAGGCCTTCTGTTTTTAGTGAATTCACTTTCTTCAGTTCAAAAAATGATGAAAAGTAATCTGTCATTATAAGAAAGTGGTCACTGCCCAGCTGGAAGAAGTCAATTCCAACTCTTTGCCATGCTCTGGTTGGAGTATTATGAGGCTGTAAGGGTTCCGATTTCTGAGCTGGAGCGTACTTTTGGCAAGGCCAACATGTCTCAACAGTTCTTTGAACATCTCCAGCCATTCCCGGCCAAAATAACACTTCTATTGCTTTTCTTAAACAAGACTCGACTCCTTGGTGAGAAGAATGTAGAATTTTAAGCATGGTAGGTCTCAAAGAACGCGGAACTACTATACGGTACCTTTTATTACGATTCCATCTACCGCTGATAATTCATCTCTAACACTCCAGTATTCCTGTAGATCTTGAGGAACATGAGTACGTTTCTCAGGCCACCCTTTTTTAATCGTGTTCACAAGATTATTCACAACAGGGCATTTACTTGACTCTTCTTTTATCTCCTTGATCCTCTCATCGGTAATATTTATGTTGTCTAAATCGTTAATGTTCTCCAACTCTGCTTAAAATATTAGGCTGTCAACTGTTTCTCTGTCGGTTTCTGTAAGAGGCGATCTAGACAGAAAATCTGCTACATGCATTGATGTGCCTGGTTTGTATTGTACACAGAAGCTGTATTTTTGAAGTCGTAAAATCATCCTTTGCAGTCTCTTAGGAGCTGAAATCAATGGCTTCTTGAATATTGCCTCCAAGGGCTTGTGATCGGATTCAACTATAACATCTCTATGTCCCATCAAATACTGTTCAAAGCGTTCAAGTCCAAACACAATAGCTAGACACTCTTTTTTAATTTGTGCGTAGGCAACTTCAGTCTTAGTTAATGTTCTTGAAGCATAAGCAACTGGCTTACCTTGCTGCATGAGGCAAGCGCCTAGGCCATATTGACTAGAGTCACATTGCACAACACAACTCTGTGTCTGGTCAAAGTACTTTAATGTTGGAGCTTCTCGGACCATCTTGAGAAACTTTTGAAAAGCATCTTTCTGTGGGCTGTCCCATACCCACTCACTAACATCTTTCAGCGAATTTCTAAGCGGTGTTGCTACTTCTGATAGTCTTGGTAGAAACTTTGATAAGTACATGACGTAGCCTAAAAATCTCTTGACCTCTTCTTTTGAAGTAGGAGCTGAAAGTTTTCTTATAGCTTCTACTTTGCTAGGGTCAGGACACAACCCATCTGCTGTAATGAGATGTCCCATGTATGGAATTCTTTCTACACCTATTTTACACTTATCCTTGTTAAACTTTAACCCTTTACGCTGAGCTTGTTGCAGAAGGGCATTCAGCTTCTTGTCATGGTCAATCTTAGCTTCTTGAACGGTGTTTCCTTTTCCAAACACCATAACATCATCAGCTATTGCCACATCTCCTTCAAGGCCCTCGATGTTTTCGTGAACTCTTCGTTGAAACTCTTCAGGAGCATTAGCAATACCAAAAGGTAGTCTAGTCCAATTAAATCTACCTTTGGGGGTCCAAAACGTAGTTAGCCTGCTTGATTCCTCATTTAGCTTTACATGCCAAAACCCATCCTTAAGGTCCAGAACACTAAAGAACTTTGCTCCATATAGCTGTGGAGCTATTTCCTCAATAGTTGGTGCTTGATAATGAGATCTTTTAATGGCTTTATTAAGGTGAAAAGGATCTATACAAAGTCGTATCTTGTTAGGTTTCTTCACTACTACTAAACTACTGACCCAATCAGTAGGCTCTGTTACCTTGACGATGACTCCGAGATGTTCAAGTCTATCTAATTCAGCACATATTTCTTTCTTCAATGCTAGAGGTTTTCGCCTGGGTGCTGCTATTGAAGGTGGTACCGACGGGTCAGTTCTTATGCTGCAAAGACCTTCAAAACTACCTAATCCTTCAAATACTGTAGGAAATTTATCAAATATCGTATGCTGATGTGTGGCCGTTTGGTTAGATGCTGTGAGAGCCTGGAAAACCTCTTCATCTGTCGTAATCAAGCCTAGTCGAAGACAATCTGCTGCTCCTATAAGAGGATTTCTCTCAGAATTCAGAATTTCAATTTTTAAATCAAAAATATTCTTTTTGAATTTTGCTTTAAGCACAATGCTGCCTAGTGAGTTTTGGGATGACCTGCCATAGAAACACAAAGTAGTGGAACTACTTGCAATTAAGTTTAGGATTTTCATTGTCAAGAATAGTTTTTACATCTCGTAGCCCCATAACGTTACAAGTTGCACCTGAGTCAAGCTGGAACTTTCTGAGCTTTTTGTTGACCATCATTTTTACAAAAAGTCGTTTTTTATACTGGATATCGTTAAGTTCCATCACTTCCTCTTCACTTTGGGTATCTTGATTTGCTTCACTGTCATTATCTTGGAGCAAATTAACTTTACCGGAACTTCGACACACGCTACTGAAATGGTTCTTCCTTTTACAGGTGGTGCAAACTTTGCCAAACGCAGGGCAGTTTTTTGCTCCCTTAATATGGCTTTTACCACAAAAACGACACTTCCATTTGTTATCTAAGTGTCTAGGCCTACTCTTTGCTTGAAATGCCACATCTTCACTGTCATTTTTGTAACAAACCTTTCAGTTGTTTCATGATGCATACATATTTCTATAGCCTCATCAAGTTTTAGGTCTTTTCTACGCAAAAGTGTTCTTTTTAATTCAGTATTGGTTATACCTACAACAAGTTGGTCGCAAATTAGAGTATCTTCAAGGCCTGTCCTGTTGAGATTTTCTAAAGAATCAATGTCACGTAATCGTATATGCTCTTTTAGACGACCTATAAAATCTTTAATCGTTTCATCAGTCTTTTGAACAATGCCATTAAAAATAAATCTCTCATACAAAGAATTATTTGTCCCTAAAATATACTTATCCAAAGCTTCAATTACCTGATCCAGGGTTGATTCATTGGAGCCAAGTATTCTTTCAATCAAACATAGTCCATCACGGCCAATTACTGTTGAAAACATGGCCATCTTCAGTTTAGGTGTACTTAACCTTGTATCACCTAATGCTCCTGCTTCAGCTATTATCAAATAGTTCTTCCATTGCTTCTTGAACACTTCCCAGTTTTCTCGTACTCGCCATGTTCATTTATGTATTAATTAAAACTATTTTAATAAAATAATCAATTCGAAACAAGAAAGTGTTTATTCTAAGAAATCATAACGTAAGATAATCAACAACTAGAGATCAGCTGGTTATAGCAATACCAACATAAATATATTTATTAAATTTGTATACGTATATACAGTGCTGCAGGAGTTTGTGAACTAAACATTTTGTTGCCTACCGATATTTAAAAAAATACTGTAGATCATGTCGTATTCGCAAAGTGTAAATAATAATGATTGTTTTTCACAAACTTTGTAATGGCGTTTTTTGTCTAATACAATATACGAATTAGTATTATTATATAACAGGGTTTTGTCAGATCGTCTTCTTTCCACTTTTTCTTCGTCGTCTCTTTCCTATATTCTACCTACTAACTGTTATCGTGACGGAGACAACAATTAACTAAGAATAATATTCAATCAAAATTTACTATATGTATATATATATATACTACTATTAATATACTACATATACTAAAAAACATATACAAAAACATATACACTGCGACGAAGACGAAGTGGAGGTGAAGTTAGCGTATACATTGAAGGTGAGATTGTAATGAATGGAACACGAATCCAAGTTCAAAATTTGCATATATTTCTCATTATTACAATTTATGGAGGCTTAAGGTTTGTTATTAAAACTTGCTCCATTTCTCTCACAGCAACCTCATTCCAATTCCAATATTCCTTTCTTGCAAGTTATTCCTTGAGAAAGTTTATGTCATGTATGTTATATACACATATTAAGGAGGCCATTAGAAAATGTCCCGACACCCTAAAGGATATTATCTTTTTAATCGCCATTCACTGGTGCACTAGATCATAAGCTTTAAAATTAGGGACCTTTGAAACACAGCCAATTCACTTGTAGGCCTATTACTACTTATAAAACGGACGTAAAGCTCATCAAAGTTAGTTATGGATATTCCGCATGTCTCAACTATTCTAAATATTAATGCTACGGACATTATCGCGTCAAAACAGATGTAAGGGACAGCTACCTTGGTAAAGAATGTGGATCCAGTATTGTTTTGGACTTTGACGCGTAAGAGATTATTAATAGAAAATATTACCATCATTCCATAACACAATGCTATATTTCTCACCACAAAACATAAAATAACCCTACCACAGCAAACCTAAAGACAAAGCTAATTTCCATTCTCCTTGCTGGACGTATAATCAAATATTCCCTTAAAGTTGTCATATTTATTTACTCTTAGTGTACACCTTGCTCGAATTTGAGCAATTGCAAAGTATTACAGGAGTTATTTAAAAACAAAATGTATATAAAACTCCTTTATATAAAAAAAGGTCACCCGTGGTGATTACAAAACCTTTTTGTATTCAAAACCTGCTAACCAATAAACAAAATAACGATTAAAAGTGTCGTATATTTTAAAACCTAAAGTACAATGTATTTTTATAGCAATATAGTGTTTGCTAGGTGGCTAGTCAACTACGGAATTGGGGATAACGAAGTTACCGCGGTTGAAAGCTATTGAATGCGTTTAACAGTAAACTAGGGGCACCTGGGTGGTTTTCCGGAAAAGAAGATTGAACGGTCATATTGTATGAATGTATTCATTCACTTAGTAAAGTAATAAATATAAGGTTCGTAATATATCTATATATTCCCCCTGTGGTACCGGGGATAGAATAGCGACGCAGCCTTCTCGGGCTTGTCGTAAGAGGCGACTAAAAGGGTGACCGACGTTCTCACTGGGAGTCCCTGGGAGTGCCCCTATTGTGTTGCAGGGGTTGATGTGTGCTCTGCACTGCCGATGGGTATTCTCAGTGGGTCGTGAGAAACCAGCCACTTCGGTCCTTGGTCAGGGTATGTGGCATGGATGTAAAGGTTGGGCTCTGCATTGCGACGGGCGACCCCTGGCACGTCAGGTATCCGGTGCTAGGCAACCAGAGGTTGGGCCCCGGGGAACTGGGGTAGGGGCTTTTGTCCCCGAGGGTATACCCGTTCCTGACTGATTCCGGGCCGCTCCTTTCCGCACGATGCGCTGGAATAAACACGATGGCTTTTAATACCCCCAATAACACATTTTTGATTAA